GCCGCGCGTTGGCGGCGGCGCCTGGCGGGATCACAGCCCGCGAAGGTGCTGCCCTGGCGGACCACCGCCTGCATACGGCGGCCTGCCGACACACAGGCGTGAGCGACCACACCGGCCCCGTGGCGCTGCGGTGCGCCGGATGGCTCAGCCTTTCAGCCCAGGAGACCTCCTACGCGCCGCCGTGGGCAGACACCGCAGGCTTGCCGACCTGTCAGACGCGGAGTTTGAGGCCCTCTCTGCGCCTGCGCTGCGAGCTGCGCAGCGAGACGCACGCCGCTTAGATCAGTGCACCATGCCAGACGAGCCCCGACAACGTGTCGCGCCTCGCGCGGAAACGATTGGAGACTTTACGGGACACCGTGCGGTTGCGGTGTTGCGAGTGCAGACGGCGTGGCGGAGACACGCGATCACTCGCCGTAGTTCTCTCGTCTCTAGTCCTCGCTACCCGCACCACGCCGACCAGCAGCCTTCCGACCAGCACCAACACTACACCGTCCAGCAGCCTTCCGACCACACTACACCGTCAACACTACACCGTCCAGCATCCACACTACACTGTCAACGCTGCACCGTCCAGCATTAACACCACCCCACAGCCACTGTCCAGCATCAACACTACACCGTCAACACTACACACGCTCGCTCGCCGTAGTTCTCTCGTCTCTGGGCATCGCTACCCGCACCACGCAGACCAGCAGCCCTCCCACCAGCACCAACACTACACCGTCCAGCAGCCCTCCGACCACACCACGCCGTCAACGCTACACCGTCAACACTTCACCGCCCAGCATCAACACTCCACCGTCAGGGCTACACCGTCCAGCATCAACACCACCCCACAGCCATTGTCCAGCATCAGCACTGCACCGCCAACACTGCACCGTCCAGCATCAACGCCACACCGTCCAGCAGCCCTCCGGCACTACTCCGACCTGCAGCAGCGGCATGGTTCAGATCAGCAACAGCCTTCTGGCCAGCATCTCCCTGGACAGCACCACGAGTCCTCGCGCCAGCACCATTCCGACCAGCACCAGTTTTCTGACCAGCACAACTCCGACCAGCCCCTAACTTCCGACCAGCATCGGCAGCAGCATCACTCCGACCAGCTTCAATCCGACCAGTTTCACTCCGCCCAGGCTTCCGACCCACACCAGCGACAACGTTATCTGGAGCAGCATCGTCACCACCACCTGCTGTCCTCTGACCAGCACCAAGGCCAACCTCAGCACCAGGTCGACCAGCACCAGCGCCAGCACCCACGCCCACAGGATAAACTGCAGGATCGCTCTCGCAGGGTGGCCTGTCGACACGGTTCCGCGTGCCCGTTCCACGCAGCCGACACGTGCAGGTTCTGGCATGACCCGGCGGAGCTGCGCGACACAGAGGCCCCAAACCTCCCAAGGCTCCTGGAGCGTCGCGCCATCCCTGCCGGCAGCGTCGGCATCGACATCGCCACCTTGTTTGCACCGTGGGCGCAGAGTACGCAATTCATGACGCTAGAGGTGCACAGCCCATACCTCAGCTACCTACGCCGAGCATCTGACGTGCACTCGGCGCGCGAGGGACTCCCTGTTTGCAGCGATGGACGGGAAGGACCTCTCCACACTCACTGGTCTCGCCATGTTTGAGGAGTTGGTACGCACTGTCAATCGAGCCTCCCAACATCTGACCAAGGTGGTGTTGTGCACACGCGGCCTCCTCCGAACCGACGTCCCTGCTGACCAACTACTCCAGGGGCGGGCCGATGCCTTTCGACTTCGATGGGGGCCGCGCGGCATTGACCTCGATGTGGTTACGAATCAGAAACTCGACGCCCGTCGTTGCGTTCTGCAAGGCGCCTCCGTGGCGATCGAAGCCACCTTAGGATGGGGGCTGGCGTTGCACCGCGACGCCGCTGCCAACCCGAGTCGGCTTCCAGTCCTCAGACGGGCCAAACAGACCCACCTTGCTGTATGCGAGTTTCGCGGACCCTGGCCTGGGATTCGCGCCGAGGCAATGGCCCGCGCGGCAGCTATGACGGCTCCGACCGATCCACCGCCCACGAAGCCAGACAGGGCGCGAGAATCGGCATCGGCACACTTAGTTCACAGGGTTGTGGTCGCCAGCTGGCGGCGCTCGCGGCGCGACCTGGTATTCTGTGCCCGGATCCGGTCCGACCGACCAGCAGCTGACGCTGTCGCCCGACTCCCAGACCGGCGACTCCTACGGCTCCGCTGGGGCGGATCCCCAGGCCATTATGCGCATGACCGGCGCGGCGTGCAGATCCAGTGCGCCGAGTGCGCTGTCTCTGGGCGCGGGCGGGGGCCATGCTTCTGGGGCCCTGTGGCCTGTCCGCCACAATGTCGATTTCAACTTCTTGCTCGTGGTGCTGCTCTGCTCTCCTTTGTCCGGTGCGAATCGGGCTGCCCCGTCGAGTTGCCAGATCGGGGCGTGACCGACGCGGCAAATGTTTACGGCGCGGTCGAACGCATGGACCAGGTCCGCGCGGCGTTGCGGGTGG